GCACACACACACACACACACACACACACATATATATATATATATATATATATATATATATATATATATATATATATATATATTATTCATGTAATATATGTAGTCATAAGATGGTTTAAAGTCTATGAAGCATTTCGGAATACCTCAGTATGATTTTAAGGTCAAAATAAAAAAATAACAATAGATAGATACGAATCGTCTAAGGCAGAAATGTATGAAATTAGATAGATAGATAGATAGATAGATAGATAGATAGATAGATAGATAGATAGATAGATCCGAAACAAACTACGGCTTAGCAATTGTGTTGGCTACCTGGAGATAGCGAATAAGGAGTATAAAGATTATAAAGATCATTTTGTGGGCGTAAGCCCATCACCCCATTGGGAAAGAGGAACCTGTAGAAAACAGAAAAAAAAACATAGTCTCTTGATCCTAGCAAGCGAGCAACAAGCCTCCCCACCCCACCAAAAAAGAAAAAAAAAACATGTAATCAGGCTTATGTTCAGATACAGATGTTTGTTTAGTTATATCTAAACACACAAGTATTCGCATACTGTGAAGTTAATGTACCTATATTTTATATAAAGGAACCGGAAACAATGATAGACGTTACGACCGCATATTTTTCCAGATATAATTTCTGCTACTGTATATGCTCATATTAATGGTCAATTTAGTCTGATAATATCTATCTATCTATCTATCTATAAAAAAATAACAATAGATAGATACGAATCGTCTAAGGCAGAAATGTATGAAATTAGATAGATAGATAGATAGATAGATAGATAGATAGATAGATAGATAGATAGATAGATAGATAGATAGATAGATAGATAGATAGATAGATAGATCCGATGAGAGGCAAGACAGACACACAAATAGATTAGAAAAGAAAGGTTAACATAGATAGATAGATAGATAGATAGATAGATAGATAGATATTATCAGACTAAATTGACCATTAATATGAGCATATACAGTAGCAGAAATTATATCTGGAAAAATATGCGGTCGTAACGTCTATCATTGTTTCCGGCTCCTTTATATAAAATATAGGTACATTAACTCACAGTATGCGAATACTTGTGTGTTTAGATATAACTAAACAAACATCTGTATCTGAACATAAGCCTGATTACATGTTTTTTTTTTCTTTTTTGGTGGGGTGGGGAGGCTTGTTGCTCGCTTGCTAGGATCAAGAGACTATGTTTTTTTTCTGTTTTCTACAGGTTCCTCTTTCCCAATGGGGTGATGGGCTTACTCCCACAGAATGATCTTTATAATCTTTATACTCCTTATTCGCTATCTCCAGGTAGCCAACACAATTGCTAAGCCGTAGTTTGTTTTTTCTTAGAGTAACTTTCACTTAAGGTGAGACTGAAAGATTATGAATCATTCCGCTGAACCTTTATTTATACAAGTATCTAATTCCTCCGCCTCCTCCTCCTTCTTTGATGTGCCGTGTTCCTTCAGGACGTGGACGATCATGGATCTTAATAATTTTTTCTCTTTTTGCTATCTCTCCTAATCTCTCATCGTGAATATGACGATGAACTACATCCGGCAGCAAGGTCTTTGATCGTGAAGTTTTGAGGAGAGTGCAACCACCTCTTAATTGCTTTTCTTCCAGGTCCACCCTGATCCGAGGTGGTAGCACTTGTTAGGGTCCCAGCTATGGGAAAACAGTTAACTCCAAAACTGCTCAGTCATTTATATGCCATGCGTGATAAACGGTTAGGCGATCATGTATCTTTCGATACATGACTGACGAGGCAGATGTTTTCCCGAACTTGGTTGCCATTTCTTTCTGCGGTAGACCAATTGCCATCCATGGCTAGGGAACCCGATCTATTCTGCTATTTACCCATAGCTGGGGGGAGAAGAAGAGGATTCATAACTTTCCCAAGTGTATTAACACGTAAGTGAGTATAATGGATTCGACTGGAATTCGAACTCGGCTCTCCGTTTACCTCAATCCGAGCCGCTATCCATTACTCCAGCCTCCTTTCAAAATAGTATGAAAGTATAAAAATAGATTTTTATATTAAAAAGATCAGCAATACACATTTGAAAAAATATATTACCAGCAATACATTTGACTCGTGATAAAAACCCTCTTTACAAATAAAAGATCAATAAAACCTGTATTACCATGCATATTCTATTCATACGAACCTATCGTAGGAATCTTGTCTGCATTAAATAACCCATTGAGGTTGATATGCCGTAAAAAATACCCCCAATGTGTTTGCTGCCAACCATTTACACCAGCTCGCTAAGCAGCTTATGTCCTGCTTTTCTCTGTCCTTTTTGTCTTCAATATATCCCGTGAGTGTCAAATTTTCTAATCCTTCCTTCCTTTCTCTTTATGTGCCCTAGACATTTCAACACGCTCTTTCTTATGTTAATTATGTGTAATTTTTTATTTAATTTCGAAGAGACGGAAATTTTCATTATCAGCAGTGCGACGAGAACAGCCTAAACCCGTAGATTAAATAAAGTGTTTAGTTCAGAATTTCCTGTAGGTTATTTAGATCGATATACATTCGAATTGAACCCTTAATTTGATCTACGGTGGTTCACTTAGAAATTCTCTGAAGGTTACCTCTCTCGTCATGCACCTGATGAAGCCCGGGGGGGACACAATGGTTGAAACGTCATGATAATAACAACAAAGATGGCGATAATATACTGCATAAAAATAATGTAAATAAAACCTGAGACAGTTTTCGATGAGTGAAAAATATAGTTTAGCAATGGAAATAAGTGTACACCACGCCCTCCCACACACACTGCTTTAGTGCGACGGTTTAACACAACGACGGTAATGTGTTAGCGTGAGGCAGGATGGCTGGAACCTGTTTCTTTCCGTTGGCTTGAATTATGTTTAACAAAACTTCTATCGAAAATACTAGTATGTTCTTCCTAGGAAACATCCAACATCATATGTCCTTTTTTTTTTTTTTTTTTTCCGTAGAAGAACCAATCAAATTACAGCAGCAGGCTTCTCATTATGACATTGAGAACAACGACATCTAGGTGCTTTGTCCCGTTCACCAAACCCGATCGAAAATTGACGTTAAAAAGTTCGTATCTGTTTATATATCTGGGATGAGTTATTGCAATTAATGACATAATTTACATTATTCGGACTGCTGTCTTCATCTTTATTCCAATATTCACGACATTTCGGCCACTTTACGCTTTGACCTTCTTCAGGTTAAGTCTATATTTCTGAGATGAGTTATTGCAATTATTGACATAATTTACATTGCTCGGACTGTTTCCTCATCTTTATTGCCATATTCACGACGTTTCGGCCGCTTTACGCTTCGGCATTCCTCAGGTTATGTCTATATTGGTATTGGAATTATTTACATTATTTACATTGTTCGGAGTGTTTCCCTCATCTTTATTGCCATATTTACGTCGTTTTGGCGATTATACGCTCTGGCCTTTTTTAATTCCTGATTGGAATTTCGAACCGAACCCTTTATTTTGTCCACCGGGGTAGATTGTTCTAGTTCCACGTGCCATGCCTCTTCCGGATGTCGCAGTTATCTCCCTTTAACTCAATCCTGCAAGTTTTTTTTGTTCACCACTAGCAACACATGGCCCAGTAGATAAAAGCATTAGTTCTACCCAGTGATTTGACCCAAAGAGGTGTGTGTTCAATACCTAGCTACGACAGTGGTGAACAAAACCATGAATATGTCCGGTGAGAAGAGACATTCTTGCCTTAGATTATTTTCTAGATTTACTGAATTCATTTTCTATTCGCTTGCAGAAGAAAGAATCTAACTTCATAGCCGCCTAGCAAGAATTAAGCTGTATTTTAAAAACATGGGTTACTCTCTGAGGTATTCAGGCTTGTCTATTTATTTAATTTGTTTAACTGTTTCTACGTATTTATATTTTATTTAGCTGCCAATTAAAATGTCTCTAAACCATTAACTTCCACTTTTCTTTTACCCATTAACATTAGAGTACCATATTTAAAGCTTTCATATCAACATATATCTCAGTTTAAAATATATATGTCAATTTAATAAAAGCAAAAGCTACTTGCGTTCTTTAATAAGGGTATGTTTTAAATAATAATTTAGATAAGAATAAATATTCTAATTATTATATCAGTATACTGGTTTCATTAAATTAATTGGTATCTGTATTTTCAGAGCTAACAATGTTACCTGTTCTATAATTAAAAATGCGTCTTGAATCTGAGCAGAATATTAGAAGCCATTCTCTTACCTCGTTCCGGAGACTTTTCATCGATTGTTGTCTTCAGTAAATCTGAGTGGAAGCAGTACTTATTAAAATCAGTAGTTTGGTATCACGGAAAGAAACTGGCAACAGAGGTCTCCCTTTCAACTTTACTATATGCGCAACAACACCTTCTGTGGATGATAATAAAGCTATGATGCCATTACAGGTTCTTCAGTTTCACTTGCGCACAATTTCATGTTGTTGTAAAGTACCCACTTTGCATCATCTGTCACGATTTGCTTTTAAAAGGATAGGATTTAAATACAGTCCACTATTTTTACATTGGGGAGCCAACAACAAATTCACTAATGTAATAATATTGGTGCAAACGATTTTCAGTGAATGATTTAGATATATTTTATATGTATAAGGTAAATTATTCTCATGTAATTGTTTTCATTTCATCATTAATCCTCTCAATTGCTCTGACTAGCTGTCAAGTCTCGTTCAGACGGAGATCTCCAGCGTCACAACCAATGAAACACATATTAAATATTTCGTTCACGGTAACTTTCCAAGAAACTAACATGCACCAAACACTCATTACGGTGCACAGCGAAGCTTCATTAGGATTCTGGACTTTTGGATCTCTAAAAACGTCAGACAGCCTTTCACAGGTGAACCAACCAGAAGTAATTACGTACCACTACTTAGCTTTATTAAATTGATCCATCAAATTTACTCTGAACTATTTTACTAGTCTGATTAACTTTTGGATTTCAAGCAATGAAAATTGATGTTACAGTTTCTGCAGTTTCCGTTTATCTAATTAATTTCGTTAATATTTCGACAGGTAAGTCACTTGAGGATTTATTGATACCTCTTCTTTAGATATTTCTTATTTTTTTATAGTATCTGTATATGTAAAAAATTATTAAGTGGGAATGATACTTTAGAGGTGAATGTCGTCTGATTTTTTATATTCATGCACAAAATAATTGTTGCTTCCTGAGTATGACAATAAACTACATACGACAGCAACGCATCTGATCAAGAGATTGGAGGTTTTGTGAAACAACCTTTTAATTACTGTTGTTCACAGGTTCATCCTGACCCATGGTGGGAACACCTTTTATGGTCCCAGCTATAGACAAATAGTGAACACCAAAAGCAATAGCAAAACACTACGAAAGTATTAAAATAGATTTTTATAGTAGAAATACCAACAATACATTTTTAAAGCAAAATAACCAGCAATAAATTTTATAGTAGAATGACCAACAATACATTTTATAGCAAAATGACCAACAATACATTTTATAGCAAAATGACCAATACATTTTATCTGTATTTGAAAGCATACAATTGCGTTCAAAATATATTTAGTTCAAGCCATAAAATTGTGTTCATAATATTTACATTTCGGCATTAATTAACCCATAGAGGTGTTGATATGCCACTAAACAATCAACGAATCAAACGACCACCATTGATTCATATAATATCCTACAATCTGTTACAGAGATCAAACTGTATTCCGAAATATAACTTCAAGAAATCTACGACAAAAAGCACACATATCACTGCCTCTAATAATTATTTCTACACAAATATGTATATACACAAAATGACTCATAAGGTGTTGATATGCTCTTAAACAAAGCAAAACAGTTTAAGTGAGCCGTTCTATTTGAAAAATTATCCTTATAACGCAAAAAAGAACTATTTTTTTTTTTTTTCGTTTCTGGCAGTAAGCACATTACGCTGAAAAGTTTGCTTGTTTGTTTCACATTTCAATGTTAGAATACACAGACAAGATTGCCGTAATGGCGATGTTAAAAAATATGAGGCAGATGTATTTCTCAAATGATTTAATAGAATATTTCCTGTCGATGGAGACATTTTACATGACATTGTTTGCAGATCAGCATTAAAACATCCGAATGTTGAATTGCGATTACAGTATTTTTTTTCTTAATAATCATTAATTTAAATTTCTTGTAAACGTCTCTTCGCTTTTCAAAAGTGTATTTGAGACACATTGGTTTTATGAAACACCATTATTAGGTTCTTTTTCTATTAGAAATGTCGTAAAGCGAAAAAAGCAATTGATTTATATCAGTGATTCCCAAAGTTAGTGGGGCCGTCGACTGTACATTCAAGAGTCTATACATTCGATGCGCTAGGGTTTTGTTTTGGTACGCAAGTAGAGGGAGCAATTAACCACCACAGAAAACCTTTTCTATCTCACATCAACATGGCTGACGCTAGACTCCAAACAACGCTCCAAGCAACATAATATTATCTTGAGAAATAGTAAGAAACTCATTTGGTTTAGAATACTAACACCAAGAAAATTCAATCAAAGATTGACTATACATTTAAGTGCGTTAGGATTGTGTCTACACATTCGATGCGCTAGGGTTGTGTTTTGGTACTCAAGTAGGTGAAGCAATTAACCCCCACAGAAAACCTTTTTCTATCTGCCATCAACACCAAGCAACACCCTAAGGCTTAAGTTTTCCAGTGAGATGAAGTAGAGCGACTATATCGAATCAATAGCTGCATCTACTGTGTCATACCAGAATTTTTTTTATCGTCAGAATTCTTGCACATTTACAAATCTACCATACGCCCGTGCATTGAATACTGCTGCCTTATCTGGTCTGTTGATTCTGCGTTATATCTCGAGATTCTTGCCAAAAGGAACCGTAAATTTAATCGATCCTAACCAGGCATCTAGACTTCAGTCACTTTCTCGCCGACGTAACGTGACTTCCCTCTGTCTTTTCTACAAATATTTTCATGATAACTGTTCTGACGATCTTTACTCACTCGTGCCCCGACTACATGGATTTAAGCATGTTATTAGTTTCACATCTAGGTTCCACCCTTTTACTGTTGAAATAGCTAAATGCAATCGTCGCTACTTCTACTCCAACAGTTTCTTTCGATGCACTTCGCACCTGTGAAACTCCCTTCCGTTTCCTTGCTTCTCTGATAACTACAATTTTCAAAAATTAAAATGCAGCGTCAATTGCGATCTTCTATCTTCTTGAAGCCCATTCATCTTTTGTCACTCCTCACTGTCCACTGTCTTTACTTTCACAACTTTTGAGCCTTTCCGACCCCCACCAAAAATGTCGTATCTTGAAGGTCGAGGTTTTCTTTATGCTCTGCCTGATCGGGAAAGTTGAAATGTTACAATGGGCTTAACTTATTAGCTTCATGCTTTTTAATGATACAGTTCTAGCGAATGAGAAGAAAACTTCAATATTCCCCACATACATTTTCTGTAATGTCAGCCGTGCATATCAGCGGGTCTATTTTTGTGGTTGGGAAAGATTAAGTATTTCCTAAATATTGCATCTCCCGAAACAAAGAAGAATCTCCGGCAGACCCGATTCCCGTTTCCCACTGCTTGTTGTACACACATGTTTTATAGTTTCTCTGCGTGGGATACATGTAAATATGTAAATATAATTTTGTATATGACTTAGCGGCATAAAACTTTCTCTGAGAACAAAGTATGTTCATCATTATTTTCTTTCAGCTATTCCGTTCCGTCCGTGTTATATCATGAATATAATAATGGCAATAATGGAGAAAACGCAAATGGGATAATACTCCTTTCTCCCATAGATTATCCAGAGAATCAAATTGGATTTGAACTCGGTTCTACTATTAACAATTTCGACTCATTATCCATTACATCACCTGCACATTCAAGCGTACTACACCTGGTACTCCAAAGCGGTCACCCATGTCGGTACTGACGATGTTCAACGTTGCTTAAGTTCGGCGATCGTACAGGAACTGGAGTTCCAACGTGATATAACCGTAACTCTCATCGTGATCGGAGGATATATATATATATATATATATATATATATATATATATATATATATATATATATATGTGTGTGTGTGTGTGTGTGTGTGTGTGTGTGTGTGTGTTCACACACACACACATATATATATATATGTGCGTTTGTTTGTGTGTGTGTGTGTACATTCATACATGCATTAATATATATTTACACATGATTCTGTCTCTTTAGTACAATTATATTTATATAATTTCTATTTCAAACCTGTTCACCAAATTAAAAGACTTTTTTATTTTTACTTTCATCCAAAGCAAGGCAATAAAGCCCCTCGGACGCAAAAGTTTACTGAGCGTTAGAGAATATGAGAAAAACTACAAAAAAGGAGAAAGCACAATAAAATAATAGGAATTAAGCAGACAGAAGATATTTGAAGATCAATGTTGACTTGGAAGGAAAAAGCCGGAAAGACATATCCACGAGAGAACTACGATAGAAGAAACTGTTAACATAGAACTTACGGTTCAATCTAGCCATTTCATCTGTAAACTGATGAGACCTGGTTTCGCGCTTAAATTCATAGTGGTTTAAGTATCATAGATGAAAGTTTATCAGGACATTTATCATGAAAGTATTTATAGAAAATAATTTTATAGACTGGTTGAATATCAAGAGTAAGAAAATTATTTCGGACCAGATAATGCCAAATCACCTTGCTATTAATGACTAAACGAAGGACGACTGGCGGCTTAGTGTGATGATCAATATATGGTAGAGTAATCGTACAGAAAGATAAATATCTAATTTGACTGCTTTATTTCAATACAAAAGTAATAAAAAATAAATAAAATTGTTCATGATATATAAATTAAAATATATACATATATATATTCAATACGATTATTTTAAATTGGAAAACTTAGAAAAAATTTTCAAAATAGTTTTACTCCTGATCAATGTCGGGTCGCTATTGTAAAAATGTATTTTCTTCTTTGTTAGTTTTTTTTCGTGACATTTAAATAAAAGTTGCAAGTGTTGAATACAAGTCGAATTTTCAATGAACAGAAATTGGAAATGGTAATTTGGAATAAGTTTTAAAAATGGTTTTTATTTTTATTTTTCTTTCTTGAGGCCGAAAGAAAAAGAGAGTGAATTCTCTCTCTCTTGTGCGTTTCTCGTGAATCGGATGCAGACACATGATTAAAGAATTCAACATTTGTGTGAACCTTTATCGTGACATACATTCTGATTTCCTATTCGGCGTGCGGTCGCTACGTTGGTCATAAACTGAATTTAGGGTTCATCAAAATAGAAATTGTTTCGAAAGGGATTTTATTTAATTTTCTTTCTATTTCAATTTCCTCAACTATCAACACATTTTTTTAGCTAAGAATTGTTCATCTATCTATCTATCTAAATCATTTTTTAATCTTATATACCTATGTCAGATTGATCATATATCTACCTATCTCACGTTACTGTTCATCTATCTAGCTGGCTAACTAGCAACCTATCTATCTATCTATCTATCCCAGTTGTCGACTTCTATCTATCTATCTATCTATCTATCTATCTATGTAAATCATTTCTTTTATTTTGTATACCTATGTCAGATTGATCATATATATATATATATATATATATATATATATATATATATATATATATATATATATATATATAATGTTTTTATCTATGTAGCTGGCTAAGTAGCAACCTAGCGATGTATCCCAGTTTTTGATTTCTATCTATCTATATCTATCTATCTATCTATCTATCTATCTATCTATCTATCTATGTAAATTATTTCTATTTATTTTGTATACCTATGTCAGATTGATCATATATATATATATATATATATATATATATATATATATATATATATACATATCTCATGTTACTGTTTATCTATGTAGCTGGCTAAGTAGCAACCTAGCGATGTATCCCAGTTTTTGATTTCTATCTATCTATCTATCTATCTATCTATCTATCTATCTATCACTCTGTATATATTATTTATTTTTTCCTCTCTGTCACTGTGTTTATGCGTGCTTGTATATCTTCTTTATTTCATTCTTGATCCTCTTTTTCTTTTGTGTTTTGTGCCTTCTTTCTCGTCTTCTTTTCGTTGCTTTCCTTGTTCATTCTTGCAATGATTCGTTTCATTCCCTCGCTTTCTCTCTTTCTTTTTCTATTTCTATCTCTATTTGTATTTTTGTCTACTTTGCTTACAGATTTTTACCCCCTCCAATGAACATGGACAGAAGTTTCATATTATTTACCCCGTTTTTTGGGTTTTTTTTTTGTTTCTTTCCGTACAATATCTCCAAATGTTCTCAATTAATTCCACTAACATTATTGCGAATAGGTGGCCCATGGATGAATGTAGAATTGATTAAATTTAGGGGCAGATCCGCAGTATGCTTTTTTTTCTTTTTGATTGAGAGGTACTTCAGCAATAATGTGAAATATAAAGAAAAATTGGAACTTACAAAATTACCGTCGATTCATCAAATATACTAATTTTTATTTAGTACGTTATAAATGTGGATGTGGCGGAAGTATACACTCTCTGTGTGCTTTCTTCTTGATTTGTTTGTTTTATTTTTTTCATTACACACTTGCTTCATATTCAATATTATAATTGCATTTCTTATTTCCTTATCCTTCTATTATTGTTCCTTATTTTTCAATAATTCTTCACCTACACTTGATTTTTATCGTTAATTTTCTTTCTTTCTGATTGCCTTTTAATTTTACTCTGTTATATTTTATCCTATTGTTCTCCGTTGGCCTATTTACCCAGGAAACACGCATCTGGAGTACAATGGGTTACGGCTCTCGTAGTCTGGAGAATTTTGACTATTAGTCGAGATGCTTAGGTTTCATATTAGAATTAGAACTCAATTTGTTTAAATTGTTGATTAAAGTTTGTATGATTGGGTCGAATAATAAAAAAGAAAGGTAATTCAGTGTAACTGAAACTAGAACTAGTCAGTCAGTCATGTGCCATGCGTGATACACGCTTAGGCGATCATGTATCTTTCAATACATGAGTAACGAGGCAGATTTTTCCTCGTAGTAGGTTGCCATTTTTTTCTGCGGTAGACCAGTTGCCATCCAACGCTATAGAACCCGGTCTATCCTGCAATTTATCGATAGCTAGGGAGAAGAAGAGGATTCATACCTTTCCCAAAGGTATTCACATAAGTGAATGTAATGGATTCGATTGGAATTCGAACTCGGATCTCCGATTCCTCACTCCGAGCCTCTATCCATTACTTCACCGTAGTAAAAGTGTTGAATATAGAATAAAATGACAAATTAATTAAATATTCTTTTCTGTTTTTAAATGTATTTTTCACGCAATTCAAGGTCCAAGAGCCACTGAATGTAGAGGGCTATGAATGAGCTTGTTGTAAGGGTTTACACTTGGTATGGAGCAATATGTACATATTATGATGATATAGAGGATAGATAACGGTTGTCCATAGACTTGAAGAAGTTAGGATTATACAATTCAGCGGTTGTCAGAGTGGCTCTTCCTCCTCACTAATGGAATATGAAGCGGATGAGATTGAGTCGACTCTGTGTACGTGGCATGGCGAATTCGAGTTGTGAAGGTATTAACTGGTCGAACTAATATTTGTTGTTCGCCTGAACAGCTGCCATAAAAAATCAGCGATAGAATAACAAGGCTGAATGCTTTGCTCGGAAATTCTCATTCAGTTCAAAGCTCGACTCTTCCGGTGTACCCACACCAGATTTCCCCCTTCGAACTGAGGCTCAATTGAGCGACTTGCACATAACCCCGTCATCGGTTCAGCGCATCATCTCTTGATATCGCCAAAGCGTTTGATAGGGTTTGGCATGTCGAGCTTCTTCGCAAGCTTCAAGGTTATGGAATTGCAGGTAGATTGTTCGACTTAATACAATCATTCCTGTAGAACCGTATTTTGAAGGTCGTTCTCAACGGATTCTCCTCCAGCCCCTATCCCACGAATGCAGGTGTTCCCCAAGGGTCCATCCTAGGCCCTACTCTGTTCCTTATCTTCATCAACGATCTTCCTGATGTCATAGATTCCCAACTAGGCATCTATGCGGACGACACTATTATTTACTCCTGCCTCAAAAACAAATCTAGTGTCGCCGACAAAAATAACCAGGCCGTTTGTCTTGAAAAGGACCTCCAATCGGTTGTGAACTGGGGCAGGAATTGGCTGGTTAATTTTAATGCCTCAAAAACAAAACTGTTCACTATTACTCATCACAAAGAACCATTCCTGTCTCCTATTAGAATGTCTGACGCTCAACTCCACGAAAGCTCCTCTTTGCGACTGCTCGGTGTCACATTGTCTGCTGACCTGAGATGGAACGAATACACTGAATCAATAGCTTCGTCCACCGCTGGAAAATTTGGCTCCCTGTGCCGCGCCAGAAATTTTTTCTCGCCGGAGTCGATCCTTCAAATCTACAAATCAACCATTCGCCCTTGCATGGAGTATTGCTGCCATAAATGGTTTGGAGACCCTTCTAATTGTCTCAAGTTTCTTGATAAAATCCAAAGACGGATATGCAATGTTATTGGCCCTGATCTGGCATCTCGTCTGCAGCCGCTCTCTCACGGACGTGCCGTTGCCTCTCTCTGTCTTTTTGACAAATACTTTAACGGTAACTGCTCCGATGAGCTGCTTTCGTTGGTTCCCAGACTTTATGAATTTAAGCATTTAACTAGGCTGGCATCTCGCTCTCACCCTTTCACTGTCAAAAATGTCAAGTGTAGCCGTCTCTTCTACTCCAATAGATTCATATCTCACACTTATCACTCTCTATTTCTTGTTTTCTGATAGCTTGATAGCTATAATCTCCAACTATTCAAATGTAATGTCAATCGACGTCTCCAGATGCTCTGATCTATCCCTTAACTTTCGCTTCATCCTTTCCTCTATCACTTCTCTTTGCTCTCGTTCCAATTCTCTGTAACCCCTTGCATGCTAGTGGCTTCCCGCCTTACTTGGGATTGAATGCGATGTTTCTTGGTAAAATTTCCAGTCTGCAGGGGTTGTGATTTTAAACGGTATTTCCATTTTTTTTTTCAATTTCTTCCACTTTTTTTCGATTCAATTTTTTTCGATCCACTTTTTTTCGATCCACTTTTTTTTTACTCCGTTTTGTACACGTGCGTTTTCATGAATACTGTTTATTAAATAAACACAGCATCTACTTGAATATTAGTATTCATCTAAAATAGCGTTTAAGCAATATATATATATATATATATATATATATATATATATATATCATACTTATTATGAAACCCAGGTTGTGTGTGTGTCTGTACGTTTATATATTGGAACGGATTTCCCACATTTTTCAACCGATTTCAACAAAACTTCACAGGACTACGTAAAATTACCTTGCAGTGGTTCTGACAGCGCCAAAAATCGGAAAAACACAATTGTTTTTGCACGAAATCAATTTGAAAACACGATTAAGAGGCATTAATGAAAGGGGACAACTCATATGGAGTTATACTTATAACACCCAGGTTATTTGTGTGCGTGTGTGTTCGTTTATATATGGGATCGGATTTCCTACATTTTTCAACCGATTTCAACAAAACTTTACTTTTTTTTTTGGCAGGTAGTGTTTCTTATTGTCTTGCACACTTTTTTTCTTTATTTTTACATTCAGAATGCTTTAAAAATTTCATTTAGAAGACAATGGTTTATAATACAAATCTATTCATAACGATTGAAAACAATGTTTTTGTTTGAGTTTGGATTTGACCAATTCGTAAAAAAAAAAAAAAGAATAATTAAGACATGCGTGTTCGTCAACCTTAAACAATAATCTTTATCAATTTTATTTTCAGTCTTTATGATGGTCGATACTTGATCTATCTCTTATTGTTACATCCCCCCTGGCAACGCCGGGCTCTACTGCTAGTATATATATATATATATATATATATATATATATATATATATATATATATATATATGCGTGTGTATTACTTCAAACGCTATTTTTAGTGGATACCAGTATTTAAGTAGACGACCCTTTTTTATTATACAGTGTTTATTATTTCGTTTACCGACCTGTGCATTCCAGTAAACTCTAAAAAGAAAATGTGTTGTTTGCGACATGATTTGAACATGCGCTTTCTTTTGCAGAATAAACTAACGCCTAATAAGCCGTGCTTTGGCTGCTCGGCTACGACGAACAAAAGACTCAAGCAAGGTTGTATTTGCTTTAATGCATATTTACACGTTCGTATTTTTCCGAAACGTCAAGAAAGGAATTGCTAAAGAAATTGTCCCCCTTTATTATATGAATGTTTTCGAGTGTGTAGGCCGTTAGACGAAATAAACACTGTTTAGAATAAAGCAGTTTATCTACTAAAAATAATCATTGAATTAATAAAAATATGTCAGATTACAGAATAAAATCGATTAATTGTTGATGTATAAAGGGTATATCAAAAATACTTTACAAAGATTTAGCGCACCAAAAATGTCTGCAAATACTTCTATGATTATAGAAAGTTTACGGTAGATGTCCCTGTGTTGCCATGCAGACTAGGTTACATTTGTCATTCGTGTAGATATGGGACTAGTCTGTCCTCAACGTTTACCTTTTGTAGTAATGAGTTATCTGAAAAGTGCTCCGTTTAACAATGACAGGATATTCACATCGTGAGCAGGCGGATAGGATTTTTACATACGGCCGCGCGAATAGTAATGGACGTGAGGCTGCATGGCTGTATCAGATTGCGTTTCCCAATCGAAGGCAACCAAGTCATCCAATCTTTCATGCTGTTTATGGTCACGTTGTGGGACCACAAACTATGGATCGAGGAAGACCGACCACGAAAAACACATTCTACAGGCTGTCGGTGATGATCCAGAGAACGTCAAGTGGTCCTAGCATGTTGTACATCCCATAGTACCACATTCAGAGTACTTCAAGGAGCAGCTCCTATGCCGTATAATTTGCAACATGCGCACGGTGTTTCCCCCTCTGATCACTCACCACGGGAGAACCTTTGCCCATGGTTTATTGTACAAACTGCCGATCCGCTGTTTGTCTCTTCAATTTTGTTTAAGGATGAAGCAAAATTTGGAAGATATGGAATAAAAAAATTAAAGCTCCA